ATGTAACAGAGTTGATGCAATCCACTGTAAAAGTGACAAAAACAGACGAAGTTATTTTATTGCAGTGATTAATTTTACTTTTCTTTTTAGAAAATGTTACATTAAATCACATCATGGATCAGTCAGCAGCAGCATCTGATCAATATGTGATCCATGATGTGATGAAAATGTTGACTTACAGGTACCTGGGTTTGCATCTGAGCAACGACCTCACCTGGAAAAACCCCCTCACCACTCTCACTCAGTCTYATCTGATCCCCTGAAGGTCAATCTGGAGCRGCACAGAATGAACAYTTCAACACCAGTATTCTGAACTAATGGCTGAACTACGTGTTTTTTCTTTTGGGAGGGCTGGGTTCTTCGGACTCATTCCCTAAACTCACTTACTCCTCTGGCTAATAACTGTGCTCTTGCTTTGTAGAGGGTTTTTTTTTCATAAACACCATAGTGTATTATATTTTATGTTTTTTTCCCTCATCTAACCTTCTGTGGTATTTTTGTTTTTCTTTTTAAAGGTAGTGCGACCCCTGCTGGTTGCCGCATGACCTGATCACCTGTTCCCCAGCGCTGGGTGGTATACTGGTTCATACCTAATATCGTTTTTTAATTTTTATTATATGAATTTTCTGAATACCGGACATACCGGTTTAAATAGCCTGAACACATTCAGAAAGTTTCGTCGCGGCTGCCAGTGAACTGTTTCCCGGGGGACACTTTTCCTCGCAGCACTGCTATGTGCGTTAGCATGCTAATGTTATTGTTGGAGCAGTTTGTTGCAGCGGTGGGTGGCGATTCCACTGCTTATATTGACTGAGGTTAAAAAAAACATCCCATTTTCGCCATCGCTGAATGTAGTAAACACCTCTTCAGTGACGTGCATGGTTAGATAAAACACGCAATGTTAATATGGAGACGTAGAGGTGCATGGAGACTTTAGCGTGCTTTTATTGTGAAAAGTCCAGGGGGAAAAGTTTTGTAGAGTGGAGCTGAGAGTTGTCCTGTTAATCTTTATTAAATAACATAAAATAATAGACCCGATAGTAATTTTTTCTTAAACCTCCTTCACAACTGGACCAAAATGCGTGACTACTGTCTCCAACCACCAGTCAGAGAAAAAACCCATAGATGAGGGAAACAGAGACACAGACAGACGTACAGTAATAGAGAAAAGTTAAACAGTGTTTGTACATTTTATAATCAGCTAACCTGTGATGAAAAGAAAAATACCGTCAAATACCGTGAAACCGGTGTAAATGTTGAAAATACCGTGATATAAAACTTTGGTCATACCGCCCAGCACTACTGTACCCCAATGTTTTTGTCGTGTCTTCTTGAATGGGTGTTCTTAAATGTAATTTCATTGTGCTCCGTACAAAGACAATAAAGCCATCCTCATTCAATCAAAACAACACCACCAGTCTGGTCAGGCACAGCAGCGGCTCTGCTTTTTAAGATGGATGAGACTGGCTGGACTCAGGATTTCAATCCTACAGAATTTTCTAAAGTTGAGTGTGGTGGGGGGTATCAGCATGTGGCACGGAGGCTGCACTGCTGCAGAGGGTGGTCAAGGCTGTCTCCCCACCACCACTGACATCTACACCTCCAGATGCTGGAAGAGGGCCACCTGCAACATGAAAAAGACCACACCCACCCAGCACTCAAACCTTTTGCTGTGCCCCCGTCAGCTAGGAGGCACATGGGCATAGAAGCAGGCAGACCACCATGAAAAACTGGAAGATAGTGGGGGGAAGTCTACACATAAAGCCACCAAAGGGACCATTAGTCATTATCACACACAAGCTCTGCAGCTGCATCCTGGTATTTTACTGTACTGTGTCAGAATACCGTCCATTCAGTTACTCCTTTTAAGACTTTCCTGAAAATAAAATCACTTTTAATTAATTCCTATTATTAGATTAGTTTTTGTCAGCTGTTGGCTAATCAATGGTTAAAGCTGACTAAGGTTTATTGTTACTGAGCTTATTAGGCTGTGTTGGCTCCGCCCCCTCTCACATGTAAAGGACCACATTAAAGGCACAGTGTGTAGGATTTGTTGTTTTCAGCAACATATAGTGGTTGAATCATTCTCCCTGGTCCTCCTCCCACCCCCACCCCCGCTTCCAAATGCAATGGAATTGCTACGGTGTCTCTCAGGTGTCAAAAACCTTTGATAATTCCAACATAAATCATCCTATAGGCTCTGACATGTCAGATAAATTTGAAAATGAGGTTTTTAAAAATATCCGTAAGACTTGGAAAAAACAGTCAGCTCTCCCCACCCGAGGCTGAAGGTCAACAGACGATCATGCTAAGCTTGCTAACTGCTCCACCC